CACGAAACACGAAAATAAAGCGTCCGGAGCGAGGCCAGGGCGCTGAGGCCAGGGCCAGGGAGGCCAGAGCCAAGGGGAGGGCGAGGGGAAGCTGGGGCCAGGGCCAGGGGAAGCCGAGGACGAACCACGAACCACGAACCACGAAAATCCGCCGGCCCCCTTGTGGGGCCACCAGGCTGCGAGGCGCGTGATTCGCAGTTTCCTGTACCAGTTGTAGTTTGTAGTTTCCAGTGTTACAATTATGCTTCTTGCTGGTTACTGTAACTAGTTGACTTCTTGCTGGTAACTAGTTGATTGACCGCGCGAGGGGGGGGATGCCCAAACGGGATTTTTAGCACCTCCTGGGCGCGTTGTCTGAATTGCTGGGGGGGCTCGAAATCGACACCCCTCACGCAGATCCGCGGGGTCAGGGTCCAAAAACACATGGGATTTGCCACATTTCTAAAATTCGGTGCCACCCCTCACGCAGATCCGCGGGGTCAGGGTCCAAAAACACATGGGATTTGCCACATTTCTCAAAATTCGGTGCCACCCCTCAGGCAGATCCGCGGGGTCAGGGTCCAAAAACACATGGATTTGCCACATTTCTCAAAATTCGGTGCCACCCCTCACGCAGATCCGCGGGGTCAGGGTCCAAAAACACAAGGGGTTTGCCACATTTCTGAAATTCGGTGCCACCCCTCACGCAGATCCGCGGGGTCAGGGTCCAAAAACACACGGGATTTGCCACATTTCTGAAATTCGGTGCCACCCCTCACGCAGATCCGCGGGGTCAGGGTCCAAAAACACATGGGATTTGCCACATTTCTGAAATTCGGTGCCACCCCTCACGCACATCCATCGCAAGGCGTGGTAACCCAAACTGCGAGTACTCCCTCGGCCCTTTAATCCCAAGGTGTGGTAACCAAGCTCGTAAACCATCGTACCATACACGTCTTACCAATCGCCCTGTGTGGTAACCCCTCTTGTGATCAGTTGGTTTTGCCGATTGCGAATCGGCCTCGCATGAAGTTCCGATACTGCTGCACGACAGCGCCAAAGCCTCATGACTTAGCTCTTCCATGGCCCATTCTCCGAGAGAGGGGGCCGGCGGCAGGTGGCGAAGCCCTTACGGATAAAGAGGTCCGAGCTCTAGAGCACAGCTGTGCAAGAGAATAAGTCTTCCTTAATAGCGCCTCAGGAAAGATTCCCCCGTAGGGGACCAATACCAAGGAGCTCTGAATAAGAAATCCTGAGCGGGAAACCCTTCGTCAAGAATACTGCCCCCGCATGGAATCCTCCAAAAGAAACCCCTTCGAAGGAGTGCTTAGTAGGGAACTCTGAATAAGCTTTCCTTACAAGGGAATTCAATACCAAATCATCCTTGATAGTGAACTGTGGCTTCCCTTAGCAAGGAGCCCTTCTTTTACTAATAATCTACATTAAATAGCCGAAATCAAAAAATCCTCAGAAAGAACCCCTTACGAAAGGTTTTCTTACTAGGAGATCCTTCGTAAGGCCTCCGTAGTAAGGAATTCTTAGTAAGGTGTCCTTGATACAATATAACTATACACATTCATTCCTTCTGTGGCGGTGGGGGGGGTCTCGCCCTGGTGAAAAGATCCCAGGAAAAAGAGAAACGGCCCCTCTGGATCCACTGGTCCCGTTCTTTTTTCTGGGCCCGCGAAAAGCAGCCTGGCGAAGGACCCAACAGGGCCCCCAGACGGGCCAAGAGGGCCCCAAGGTGGCCCCCAAAACGGTCCAAGCAAGCCCCAAGTCGCCCCAAGATCGCTCCCGTCGCCCAAAAGGGCCCACAGCTGGCCACGCCCCAAGAGGGCTCCACGAGGCACACCAACAGAGCCCCGAAATACCAAAGTCACAATTGTTTCTAAAGTTCTTGAATGATTTTAGTGTTCTCGCCTGTTCTGGCTTTGACCGTCCAAGATGGCCCAGGAGGCCGCCAAGATGGCCCCGAGACGGCCCAAGAGGCCCCCAAGACGGCCCAATAGGGTCCCAAGAGGGGTCCAAGAGAGGCCCCGGGAATCCCAAAGGGACCCCCACAAGGCTCCCAAGAGGCCCCTAAGATGCCCCCAAGAGGCCCCCAAACTGCCTCCCAGAGGCCTACGAGCGCGCTCCGAAGAGGCCCCACGAAGCATCACTGATTACCCTGCCCACGTCAGCGTCGTCGTCGTCGCCGCCGACGTCGCCGTCGTGGTCGTCGTCCCCTTTCAGTATCGGAGGCGCCGGTCGCAATGCCTTCCCAATATCCAACTCCTCCTCCCCCATCATCATCATCATCATCATCATCATCATCATCATCATCATCATCATCATCATCATCATCATCATCATCATCATCATCATCATCATCATCATCATCATCATCATCAATGAATCAATCAATCCATCAATCAATCAATCAATCAAATAATCAATCAATATCATCATCATCACCACCACCACCATCATCATCATCAGCATCATCATCATCATCATCATCATCATCATCATCATCATCATCATCATCATCATCATCCTCATCCTCATCCTCATCCTCATCCTCATCACCATCATCCTCATCCTCATCCTCATCCTCATCACCATCACCATCATCATCGTAACAATCATCATCATCATCATCATCATCATCATCATCATCATCATTATCATCATCATTATCACCATCATCATCATCCGCACCATCGCGTCATCACGCCCTCTTCATCACACCCTCATCTAAAATCTTGCTGATCCACCGCTCCCTCAATCCACCCACCCACACCGTGCACCCATCCATCATCCACATCTTCTTAGCATCCTCATCCTCATCCTCGACATACCCATTATCCTGAACACCGTCATCCATCGAATCCCCATCATCATTCGCACCATCATCAGCAGCACCACCATCAGCGTCAACAACAGCATTATCGGCATCATCATAATCACCACCATCATCTTCATCGCCACCCTACAGCAAAGCCATGACCACAACCAACCTCATTATCAGCATCACCATACCTGCTCGGAAAAAATGAGGTTTTCTCCCCAACACAAGGAACCATCATCATGGTAAGCATCATAAGCATAATCATCGTCGTCAGCATCATCATCGTCATCATCATCAACATCATCATCATAGTCATCATCATCAGCAGCATCATCATATCAATCAGCATCATCGCAAACATCTCCACTACCACAATCATCATCGTCACCATCACCGTCACGATCACCATCATCACCATCACTACCATCATTATCATCATCATCATCAGCAGCATCATCATTCATTATCACCATCATAAGCATCATCATCATCGTCACAACCACAATCGTGACTATCATCATCGTCATCATCATGGTACTCCGAATCTGCATCTTCGTCATCGTCATCATCGTCGTCATCAGCATCACCGCCGGCATCATCATAACCAGCCTAGCACTGTCAACCTGAGCATCATCATAACCATCCTATTCCTTTATCAGCATTAGCCGATGACCTCATCATCGTCAAAATCAACATCGCATGGTTTTTATATGGCGTCCTCCTCTTCCAGCAACAGCATACACCGCCTCCCCATTCGTCCTCCTACTCATCAGTTTCTGCAACATCATCATCAGCACCGCCATCGACATCACTCCCAGCACCCCCACCCCCCCCCACCACCTCCACAAGCACCATCAAATGAATAATCATGGCCACCTTCTTCACCACAACCGACGCCGTCATCATCGTCGCCATCATGATTATCATCATCATCATCATCATCAGCATCATCATCATCAGCAGCAGCATCAGCATCAGCATCATCATCAACATCGTCATCATCATCACCATGATCATGATCAGCATCATCATCCTCATCCTCATCCTCATCCTCATCATCAGCATCAGCATCAGCATCATCATCATCATCAGCAGCATCATCATCATCATTGTCATCATCAGCATCATCATCCTCATCATCAGCAGCATCATCATCAGTATCATCATCATCCTCATCGTCATCATCGTCATCATCACCACCACCACCATCATCATCATCATCATCACCAGCATCATAATCAGCATCATCATCATCATCGGCACCAATATCTTGACCATCGTCATCATCGTCCTGGCCATCACCCCAGCATCGCCATCATCCGTATCGAGATCGTACCAAACATCCTCATCAACATATGCACCATAATCATCGTCATCCTTATACTTATCATCATCACCCTCATAATCCTCGCCCCCATCACCATCTTCATCATCCGAAGCATCGCTGGCATCATCAGCATTATTAGTATGATCAGCACCGTCATCACCATCAGCAACAACATCACCATCGCCTCCAACAGCGGCAGCATCACCGTCATTATCAGAAACATCAGTCGCCACTCCTTCTCCCCATTCTTCTCCTCCTCCTCCTCCTTCTCCTCCTTCTCCTCCTCGTCCTCCTCCTCCCTTCTCCTTCTCCTCCTCCTCCTCCTCCTCCTCCTCCTCCTCCTCCTCCCCACCCCTCCTCAAACGGCGGAACCGCTGTCTGACAAGCGCCCGCTCGCCCAGACCACACACCCTGACCTCGAGAATACCTCCACCTCGCCCAGGCAGCCCGTCAGCAGCAGTGGACCAGCCCAGCAGCCCCTCCTCCTTCCTCCTCCTTCCTCCTCCTTCCTTCTCCTTCCTCCTCCTTCCTCTTCCTTCCTCTCCCTCCTCCTTCTCCTCCTCCTCCTCCTTCTTGTTCCTTCCTCCTCGTTCCTCATTCCTCCTCCTTCCTCCTCTTCCCTCCTTCCTCCTACCTCCTCGTTCCTCATCGTTCCTCTTCGTTCTCCTCCTCCTCCTCCTCCTCCTCCTCCTCCTCCTCCTCCTCCTCTCCTCCTCCTCCTCCTCCTCCTCTCCTCCTCCTCCTCTCCTCCCTCCTCTCCTCCTCCTCCTCCTCCTCCTCCTCCTCCTCCTCCTCCTCCTCCTCCTCCTCCTCCTCCTCCTCCTCCTCCTCCTCCTCCTCCTCCTCCTCCTCCAGGCGGCGCGCCGCATGTCGCCCTTCGACAACTGCATCAGCCGCTCCAGCGCCCCGGGGCCGAGCCTCTGCGGGGCCGCCGGCCGCCCGGGCCGGCCGAGAGGCCGATGCTGATCGAAGAGAGACGCGAGGAGCCCAAGACCTCAGGGGGAGGACGAGGCGAGACGAGAGGAGACTGAGTGGGACGAGCAGGGTGAGGAGACGACCGCAGGAAGGGGAGTTCGCGCCCCGGTGCCCGCTGAAACCCCACGCCCACCCAGCAGCTGGCTGCGGGGCGGCAGGGCGGGGGGGGCCACGGGCACCTCCTGCATCACGGACTAAGGCCGATGCCATCGGCGAGACCTTCGAGGACGAACCGATCTGCGAACTTCCACAGGAAGACGCTGGGGAGGGTCTCGCGCACACCGGGGCTGTCGACAACACCCGTCGAGAAGAAGGGCACCTAGAAACAGCCGACTGGATGGGCACGGGATGGGTTGCACCTGTAGCAGCACCGACATCCGACCAGTCACAGCCGTAGAGGTCCTCCAAGGGACTAGCGCGCTCTGAGGTCGCCAGCTCAGTGGCCGGGATCCGCGGGCACAGCGGCGCCGGCGTCGCCGAGCAGAGGCCAATCCAAGCACAAACATCATCCGCAGCACCATGTAACTCCAAGAGGGCTTAGAAGTACACGTCGGTCGGAAGAAGTTGGTAAAAACATGAAGTAGGAAGGCGGATTAAGTTGATTGGGCCCAGGCCCCCCCAGGGAATAACAAAACACAGCAAAAGCGTGTCGATTCTTGAAGTAGGAAGGCGCTTGAAGTAGATTGGGATCTGGGAATCCAAAAATACCTACTTTCATCATCTGCTGCTCGATTCAGAGCGGTCCGAGAATCAGAACGGTGCCCGAGCGAACGGGCCGATGAGGACGAGGAGCAAGAAGACGCGGCAGACCGCGGGGCGCGCCGAGACCGGTGCTGCCCCGACAGGCCCCCTAGTGGCCAGGAAGAGGCCCAGGATAGAACAATCAGAAAAGAAAGGATATTAGCCCCAGCACGCACTCATCGTCGCCAACGGCCGTCGGCGCTGCCATTCTCCCCGAACGAACTCCAGCCATCGCCACACGGTAAACATCCATTCCCGAGATCGGCCACCGCGCGACGCCCTTCGCGGCGCTGCGCGCCCCGCGCGCCGCAGCCAGACAGCCGCAGGAGGGCGGCGCCGGTTCGACCAGCCCCCATCCGTGAGCAGGGTGAAACGGGGAAGGCAGCCCAGGGGCATCTCGAAGGGCACGGCCCACCCGGGCATCGCGCGCACACCGCAGCAGCGCATCGCGAGCATCAGCGCAGCCAAAGGCGCGGCACCTCTTCCCCGCGAGGCGCAGGATCCCCGAGGAGGCGAGCTCTCCGTCACACCGCTTGCGCATCGCTGACCACGCCCGCGAGCATGGACACTACTGCAGCTGAACAAACATCGCATCCCAGCAAAGCTCACCCAGGAGTGCCCCAAGACGGCCAAAGGGAAACTCGCGCTGCTTCGCGCGCGAGATTTCACGGGAGGGCGATGCGAAGCACATGCTCACGCAGGCCGCCATGCGCAGCGCGTCGCGGCCGCGGGCGGCGCCCGGGATCAGCTGCAAGAGCCTCGCGCAACGCGTCGCGCCCGGCATCAATCGCCCCAGACCGGGGCCCAGCACAGACCGCGACAGATACCGCCGCAGCCATGTTATCCACGATCGAAGGGCACTGCCACAAAGGTTGGCACAAGCGGTCACCGACGAGCACGTCGAGATGCCCCGACCCCCGCCCGGAAACTGCACGTTGTCGAACGAGCACGTTCGGGGCAGGCGCGAAGCGCGGCGCGCAGAAAGGACGTGAGGTTTATGTGAGCTCACCGCGTCACCTTCGGCCTCGGCCAACGGTCTATCTGCCCCCATGCATTCAGCGCGAGAGCGCCAAGAGCAACGGTGCGCCTGCGAGAAGACACAAAGGCCGGCAGACAGAACGTGTCTGGGCATCCAGAAGAATCCATCGATGTACGAGAGAGTCGCGACGACACGTGCGCTGTAGACAATAAAGGACACGCTAGCGGGGGCAACGCCGTGTCCAGCCACTTGAGCCCGCAGAGAGACTTTCGCCAGGGGGTCTCGCCAAGGTCTGAAGTGGACGACAGAGGGGCCGCCTAGACACCCAAGTAGAGGAGCTCCGAGACCACCTCCATGGAGGACCAGCGGGGCACCACCCGAGACAATACCTCGAGAACATGCTGCGCCAGACTCTCCCAGAAGGGCACCGCGAGCGGGGCCGCGCGGCACTTCTGAATCTCGAAACCAAGATCAGCGAGCAACTCCGCCCCCCTTATCACGAGGGCAACCAAGGCCAGGCCCTCCATGCTGAGCAGTGCGCCGCCACGTCGCCCGCACACGCGCACGCCATCCCGCGCGCCCCTGGGCCTCGACCAAGTCCTGGAGGTGAAAAAAGAACAGCGACGACGCCATCGCATACAGCGGCTCTGAGAGGGCGCACCCCTGCAGAATCCCACCACGAACCCAGCGCAGGTGCTCGCGGGGCCCCAGAGATAACGCGACGCCCTCAATGGCCTGGTAGAGGAACCCCACAAACACCAGGAAGGCCTCAGGTAGGCGTAGGACACGGAGCACGAACAAAAGTTCCTGGTTCAGGGATTAGGGCACGCCACGGAGCCACGAAGAGTGACCGACATCTCACGGCTCGAGACGTCCAATTCTGAGACGTCCAGGCCGAAATTCCGCTGGGGAACGAACCCCCCCTGACAAGCCAAGGCCACGCTCTCGAGCGCCGGCCCGACCGCCGCGCTCGCAGTGGCCGACGGGGGTTCCACAGCTCAATTCCGAAGGACTGACGTGCACACTTTGTCAGCCGAGCGTTAAGTCGGGCGTGTCCCCCTACAGGGCGATCTTCGACGAAAAACAAAGAATACTCCAAAAATACACAAGATGGCCAAAAAATATATCAAAAATAGTCCCCCGACTATTTTTTCACTATTTTTTGATATTCCCCCTGTAGAGAGACATGCCCGACTTAAGCCGATCGTTCCACTGCCCAGCCCGGGGAGCCCCTCGCCACCCGCGCTCTTGGGGGGGGGCAGGCCTTCAGAGCAAGGCTCGCCGCGTCGAACGACGCCCGACCCCGCCTGACGCGAGGAGGAGGAGGAGAAGGAGGCGGAGGAGGAGGAGGAGGAGGAGGAGGGGCGCCAGGCGGACGAGAGCGCATCGCACCCCGTCGCTGGGCCCTTCGCGTTCGCAAGAATCTCGCGCGCCAACTTCGGGGCAGGCACAGTCGAAGTCTACTGCAAGGACGGGCGGCAAAAAGCAAGGGCCATGGACGCCGAAGTTGGCGCTTTCTGGGCGGCGGACTGCCGCCGCAGAGAAGGGCGGGCCAAGGGCGGGCCGCAGAGGCAAGAACGCAATGGCACCCCAAGGACATCCGCGCGCCCCCACTATGCGTTTCGACTGTAGGGGGGAGGGCAGGTCGTCAATGTCAGGCAGGCACCGCCGCGCGCGCGTCCAAGCACGCTCCGCGCCCCAAGACTTCTTCGAGAGCGGAAGACCTCGAATGCGCTTCAGAATGTCGACCCGCTCGGGCGGGGCGGTCGCGGTCTGGCCCTCGTCGTCGGCGACGGCCGCGAGACGCGCGCGACGACCCAGGGGGGGGCCCAAAGCCTCACGCGTTCCTCCATGTTTCTCAAGAGCCCCCACATGCAGCCCCAGAGCCCTGGGGACCCCTTCCCCCTCCTTCCCGGCCTGGAGCTCGGCGCGCGCGCGCGCTCCACAGCCCCTCGCCGCAGGCGGTTCGACCAGGCGCGGAAGGACCCCTGGTGGATCAACACAAGCTCGGAGCCGACAACCTGGGTGAAGTCGGACGCGGCGCGGGGCGGGACTCGAGGAGACGCTTGGCCAGGCTCGCGCCCGGGCGCCGCATCTCGCGCGCGCCGGGGGCCTGGCGAGCTGGAACAGAGTAGAAGGATTATTCGGCCGACGTCGAAAAAAACGATCACGAGTTTCACGAGCGGCGTCCTTCATCAGAAACTGTAACGTTCGAGACAAAATGGTGGGAGCATACTCGGCCAATCAGCGCCGTCGATCACCGCGCGGAATTGCCCGTGAAATAAAGGATCACGGAGGAGATGCCCGCCCAGAGGTCGCTCGTCAGGGGGGGCGGGCAGAACGGGGAGTGGGCGAGAAGGCAACCGCAGCATGGTCAGAGATGAGCCGATCCGAAACACTCGCGGCAGAGTCGATCGCAGCGAGTTGAAAATGCAGATGGCGCACTTGCCACCCAGGGAGAGGCGCGAGGAGGCGGTCGATGCAAGACTCGGAGTTCGTCTTGTTCTCGGAATGCGAGGGCATGTCGCAGTCGATCTCGACCAGCTGCGACAACACCCGCCTACATGCCGTCGCCTGCGCATGGTGCTCATGGGCCGCCCGACGGACGGCATGCGGCACATGATGAAGCACCGCCTCCTCGGAGGCGAAGTGGAACCGCCAGCGACAATCACGCGCATCTGAGACGGGGCACTGGCAGCTATAGCCTTGGCAGCCTCGAACAGCCTCACGACCGAGCTAACTTCATCCCGAGAAAAATCGTGGTCTCGCACGTTGAAGAGTCCAGGCGAACCGCGGCGGCGCACTCCACAATAACCTGCAACACTCGACTGGGCACAAGAGCCACACGGCGACTTCGCACTCTCTTTCCAGCAATCTGTCCAAGTTCAAGGAGAAGAACAGCCACGCCACCACAAATGCGCTCACAACGCTCCTCTCCGAAAAACGACTACAGAAAAGCCAAAGAGGGTGCAACCGCTCTCATGAAGGCACGAAGTTGGAGCACACTTTGTCGAACCTCCTGCAAGGACACTGTCGACGAGGCCGGCAACAACCGCATACGATAGTTCTTCTTAAGAGAGACCCCTTTTTCACCACCACGTTGTAAAACAGCACGGGCATTCCAGGTCACTACTCGTAACGGCGGCGATAGAGACACCGCCGTAGAAGCCGAGCACGCGAACAGCAGCCAGGCATCAAAGACACCACGCGGGCTCCATCTCGG